GAAGTGGCGAGGGTTCACTGTATAACAGTGTGCGACAAAAAAGGCCTGGTGTGCAGCAGATGGGGGACTGGTTTTCCCACCACGACAATGTACCTGCTCACAAAAAATAGCAATGCCTCTCTTACCCCATGCACCTTTGGCAAAAAATAGCATGCCTCTCTTACTTCATGCACCTTACTCACCTGACCTCACTCCATGTGACTTCTTTTTGTTTCTGTGACTGCAGAGGGACATGAAAGGACAGCAATTTGATGACACAGAAGAGGTGAAGAAAAAAAAACAAGGGAGGTGGTGTCAGCCATCCAAACAGATGAGTTTGAAGTGTTTCCCAGAATGGAATCAGATTTGACAAATGTATTAAGTGTAATGGAAAGTACTTTGGAGGTGATAAGATTATTTTGTAAAAAAAATTTTTTTGAAATATATAGCTTTGAAAAAAAATGTTGGTTTTTGGGGGGATACCCCCTCACATATGTCTGAGCCTACTGTTCCAGCCACTGTGTCCATCTACCTCATTCTTTTGGGAGGATCGTCCTCTTTTTTTGCTGACCCTCTACCAAGCTTCATGGTCTTCTCCAGGGTCTGGTCTCGCGTGATAACGAGTCCAATGCAAGTCATCCTCCCTTCTAAGGGCTTTCTAGCTGTGCTTCTTGCACAACAGGTTTGTCGTCACTCTTCTGCATAATCAATATTCTTTGCAATAGCACAATTCAAATGTATCGATCTTTTCCCGGTCTTCCTTATTCACGTGCATCAGCGAGGGTTGAAAATACCATGGCTTGGGTCTGACGCGTCATTATCCACAAGGTGACATCTTTGCTTTTTAACACTTCAAAGACGTCATTTGCAACAGATTTACCGAATGTCCTACTTCATGGGATTTCTTGACTGCCGCTGCAGACCATCCCCAATTGAGCTGTGCTCTTCCACCGAGGAATCCCTGGTAGCATCATGGTCATGTGTTGGCCTTCTGTCCACAAGGTCAGCAGTTGGAAATCACCAGCTTCTCCCGAGAAAGACAAGGCTTTCTACTCCCTTAAAGAGTTAGGGTCTCAGAAACCCACAGAGGGAAGTTCTATCCTATCTTATAGACTCTATATGACTCAATGACAGGCAGTTGAGTGTGCGGTCAAAATTATAGGCCCGATTTGGAAAATTTAGCACTAAGACTATAAAATGGTCTTAAATATTGATTACATGTCAAAATGACAGTATTTTGGATACCCCAGGTCATTTTTAAGGTGTCCTGATGGGGCTGTGGGTTAGGTGTGGGGCTCTTAACCACAAGCCATAAAGTTCAAACCCACCAGTCACTTCTTAAGAGAAAGAAGAGGCTGTCTGCTTCCACCAAAAACCCTATGTAGAGTCCTTATGACTCGGAATCAGAGCTATGGGGGTGGGCTTCTGGGTTGATGCTATTTTAACTATATTCGGATTAATTTAACCTATTTCTCTCATTTTTTTTAACTTTTTCTGGTACATGATTTACATATATAATTCAAAAGTTCAACCATTCAAACCTATTTCTCTTTATGTGGCACTGAGAACACTGTCAATTACACAGATGGCTCGCACCTGTGGCTTGAATTCTATTGGTTGGACAGGGCTCGTGGCTCGATTTCAACATGGGAACGCCTGTGCTATTTTTTTACCTTGAGATATAATCCACACACCACAAAGCATGTCTCTTCCACCTGGTCATTCCATGGGTTGCAGGAGATGAGGAACGTTGTGCCGCCATCACCATTGTCTAATTCCAGAATGTCTTCATCCCCGCCCAAGGCAGGCTAGCTCCCAGAAGCCCGCGCTTCCCATTTGTCTATGCTATTTTCACCAAAGAAAAGCAAGCTGCTGATACAGCCGCCCCCAACGCAATGTTAATGAAAAAACGAAGCAAGAAACACTAACATCCAAGTCCACTCTGACTCAAAGGGACAAGATAGGGCAGAGTAGAACTGCCCCTGTGGGTTTCTGAGACTATCGAGCTTAACCAACGTAGAAAGTCTCCTTTTTCTCTGCAGAGCGACCGGGGGTTTCGAACTGCTGACCTTGCCCTTACCAGCAGCCCAGCCCACCAGGGCATCCCTGCATTCTCTACGTTTGGAATGATGTGCCCCAAACTTTCCCAAATGGTTTTCTCTGAGAACAAGGGCTGGGCGGGGCTGAGAGGGGAGAGAGGCGCTCACCTTTTATGTTAAATACTTCTCTGCAGGCTGGGGAAAGGATGAAATAAGAGCTCCTGGTGCTTTTGAGAATGAAAAAGGCACGGGCTGGGTTTCTGGCCCTGAAGGTCGTCCGGCGAACGTAGGTACCCTAAATGAGTAACTTGGGCAGGGCACTCTTAACGGCCCGGTTCCGGCTGCACCCGGGATTGCCCGGGAA